CAGCCCTGTTCCTAGAGGCACACCAACAATACACATTTTGGATGTCTCCCTTACCATTTCAGGTTTTGGAGTCTCTACTAACAAGCTGATGAGTTGAATCAGGTGTGTTTGATTGGGAAGAGTTCGAAGATGTGTATGATTGGTGTGCCTCCAGGAACAGGGTTGGGAAACACCGTATCGGGATACTGTGCACTGTTTGTGCTCCCATGCTTTCATTCCCATTAGTAGTCAAAACACTGCATTGCTGATCATTTGCATAGTTACATAAAACTTTGAAACTGTGCCACATGGATACACCTGCTTTGCATTTCCAACAGTCCCTCACGTGGCTAACTCTTACCGAAAAAGAATGACTTCCAGAAGCCACACACCAGTCTGTTTGAATGCAGCTTTGAAGTCTGTGATGTTGTAGGCCTGGGGTGTCCAGTCCTGTAGCTGGAGGGCCATTTTCCTGCAGAGATTAGCTCCAACACACCTGCCTCTAGTGATCCTGAAGACATGGGTTAGTTGGCTTGTGCAAGTTTAATTAGAGCTGGAGCTAACTCGACTGGAAGGTGGCCCTCCTGAAGCAAGACTGGACATCCCTGTTGTAGGCCATACATTTGTAGCATCCTAATCCTTTTTGTCGCCCCACAGATGCGTGTGGTTTGATCCGTTGGATGTTGATGGTAAACCCAGTGCGTAGAGCTACTTTGGAGGAGATCGCGGGTCACTGGTGGCTCAACTGGGGCTATCAGCTCCCTCTACTGGCTCAGAGTGAACCTGCAGCTGCGCATCAGGATCCAGGACATACGGCCGCTGCATGTCAAACCGGTGGCCCGACTCGTATTGCGGACTGGCTACGCCGCACCTCTCGCCCTCTTCTGGAGAGCAGCTCTAAGATGCGCTGCCTGTTGCGGACAGGCGGGGCCATCGGAGGAGAACCGGTCCAGCGACAGCGCTCCATACGCAGGTCGCGCAAAGAAAACAACGTCTCGCAGACCATGCAGGAAGCTCCTCACCCATCTAAAGGAATTCTAAAGAAGCGGGGAAGTCTTAAACAGAAAGCGCCCAGTGACTCCCAGGCTACACCCTTGGAGGAGAAGAGCCAGAATGCTTTGGCGCCATCTGTCCTGCCTCCACCCCCTAAAGGCATCCTGAAGAAGCCTTCGGAAAGCGAGTCAGGCTATTATTCCTCTTCTCCGGAGAGCTCCGGAGAGACTCTTGGGAACCCAGAGCCACACCCCAAGGGCATCCTCAAACGGCACGGCAAGTTTTCCGGCGGCCTGCAGGAATTTGGCTCGCTGGACCAGCTTGCACCCTCCTTACCAACGGTGGTCAACAGATCCCGACCGAGCGGCGCGATCAGCGAGGATAGCATCCTCTCCTCTGAGTCCTTCGACAGACTTGACCTACCTGACCGCGAGATTCCAGTCGCCCCAATGGAGCGACCAGCAAGTGGACGCAGGATGCGAGGATGCGTGTCCGCTGACAATCTCCTCGACTTGAGGGAAGAGTCTCAGTACCAGGGACACTGGGAAATGGACATGGCCTGCTACCGCGCAGGAGTGTCCGATAGCGTGTTTTCAATTTCTGACTGCGAAAACGTCACTCAGACTTACAAACAAGCCTTGGGAGCAACCACAAGCTGAAACGCACAGGGACTACGATGTGCAGAGATGACGCAACTCCAGTTGCGCTTTGAAAAGGAAGCCGGTTGGAAACAAGGAACGTACTTGGAAATGTTCTGGAGCAATGCCAGACAACGAGTGGTCAGGGAATGGTTTCAGGCCCAGCAGGAAATGGGCTTTCGTAGAGGACAGGACGTCCTGTTTAGGACATGCATTTCATTCTGAGGGAACAGCAGTTTGTGCAACATGCAAAACAGTGGTTTTTATAATGTAGACTTGGTTTGAGAAAAGTGCCTTTTATTTCGTCAGCTGCCTTGCTCCCAGTGATGAACAACTCACTGGTTATTCTTTGAAATGTTTTTAAATGACTGTTTAGGGTGTTGGCTAGTCAAAAAAAATAAAAATACCAAAGATGACTCATGATAAAGTTCAGAACCATTGTGAGTTCAGTTTGTTTTTAAGGTGAATACTGGTGGTAGAACACAACAACGATACTGCGAAAACTCCCAGTGCAAAGACTGACTAAAGTGAAGATCGTTCCCGCCAATTTCTGACTTTTAAAACATGCCATTATCTGCTCAGAGTTCACAGGTGCACGGATACAATAAACTACTGTCTGTTTATGACTTTATGTAGTCCAGACTTTAGTTTTGCGTCTGTTTCATGATAAGAATCGTGCAGATAGGAGTGTTTGAACTGCGTCCATGTCGCAGTTTATTAGGATGGTAAAACACAACGTGACCTTTCAGAATAAGATTAAACTAAAAGCGCTGTCTTCGAGAAACGTGTTGAAATGGTGAGATTTACCGGATGTTAACAATTGTGTGGTTACAACTATTTAGGAATGGGATGGAAGGGTGTTTTGGTGTCATAGCGGGGTGTTTGGGCTTCATCAGTAAATCTAAACTCTTCATACAGTATTTGTAAGAGTGTCACGGTTTGAGATAACCCAGGTAATGAGGTGTTGTTCTTCTGTTTGGTGTTATATTTTGTTCGAGTTCATGCATGTTTATTTGCCAAAGTGCCTGATTTATCTGCCCTGGTGTCTCTTTGACTCAGTGGAACAATAAAACTCTGACTCTCTGGCTGTCGGTTCTTCTGTACCCGTCACGGTCTCCTGGATAACCTTAAATCACATTCATACTCGACAGTATGTGAGAGCTGTGTTGCAGCTTTCATAATTTAAGTGTATTTGAAAGTAATTAAGGCAAATAGTATGCAACAAATGTGTCTGTGGTCTTTTGAAGTGGTAGCATGACCCACTACCAGGGTCTTTATAGTTAATCAAAACATAAACATAAAAACATTTTGGTTACTTGAAATACACTAAACGTTAACTGAAATAAAATAAAGTATTAAAAAAGTAAACTTGATTTTATTTCAGCTAGTTGCCAATGCAACATTTATAATTTTTTTGGTTCAGTTTAACTTGATGTACTAAATTGTATCAATTAAAACTGATAAATGCAACATGAGCAATAAAACTAAATGAAAATGGAAAATACAAAAATAACAACTAATTCTTATATATATATATATAAACTCTAACGATAATAAACTAACAATGCCTGAAAAATATACTTATGGTGTGAAGTATTAAATGTGTTTTGGGATGCAGATCATTTAAATTATTGTTTCTTTTAATATCTGAAGTTCATTTTCCAGATGATTCAGGTCATTAATCCTGACCAAAAAATATCCTGGTTATATTTTACCCCAAAATAAAGAAAAAACTTTTTCACGCAAAGACAATTGAGATTATTTGGGGTCATTTTTTGCATTATTTTTTATCACATGTAAATTTGCTAATTAGTATGCAAGAAATATTCAGCGCTTGCCATGCCAGTATATATCATGGTAGTGTTTGTGGTTCAGAATTTAATTTATGCTAGTTTTAATTAAAATCTAATCTTAAAAAGAATCGCATGATGAAGAACAGGCTCATTTTCTTAATGCAAAACCATTCTATTGATCTTTTGACTTCAGGGTCAGGGCATTTCTGCTTAAACCAGCACATTAAAACCATTCACCATCCACATCAATGCTGTTTATTTTCACACATACATGTCTTTAAAATTGAAAAGGAGTCTATCAATAACATACATTCGAGTCTAAGAGCAGCGCATGAAATAAATGTCGTGTGAAATCATGCAGTGTGTGTGTTTGACAGGGCGAAGGTTTCCTGACAATGCAAATATTTGCTTGGGTGCAGAACGTCTGCGACGTTAAAACTAATGCGAACATCACCAACAAACGCTAATGTACCGGAACCGTCAACAATAAGCGGGAAAACACTAGAATCCATTGGCTGGAGAGGGTTTGATGCATCCAGCTGTCAGAGCGGGAGGTCCTGCTCGGGTGGAGACGGCAGCACCCGATTGATGGTCTCCTCCAGCGACGAGAAACAGGAGCGCAGGGACACCTGGAGCACAGAGAGAGTCTGGCTCAGTCATCGAATGTAATGATTAACGATTCAAATATGCGACGATTCAAATGGGTTCAGATGCTAAACCAATCGCGATTCAATCAGGGGCGGAGCCAGACAGTATAAACATTGGGGGCTTAGCCCAAATGTTGATTTATCTGCCCTGGTGTCTCTTTGACTCAGTGGAACAATAAAACTCTGACTCTCTGGCTGTCGGTTCTTCTGTACCCGTCACGGTCTCCTGGATAACCCTAAATCACATTCATACTCGACAGTATGTGAGAGCTGTGTTGCAGCTTTCATAATTTAAGTGTATTTGAAAGTAATTAAGGCAAATAGTATGCAACAAATGTGTCTGTGGTCTTTTGAAGTGGTAGCATGACCCACTACCAGGGTCTTTATAGTTAATCAAAACATAAACATAAAAACATTTTGGTTACTTGAAATACACTAAACGTTAACTGAAATAAAATAAAGTATTAAAAAAGTAAACTTGATTTTATTTCAGCTAGTTGCCAATGCAACATTTATAATTTTTTTGGTTCAGTTTAACTTGATGTACTAAATTGTATCAATTAAAACTGATAAATGCAACATGAGCAATAAAACTAAATGAAAATGGAAAATACAAAAATAACAACTAATTCTTATATATATATATATAAACTCTAACGATAATAAACTAACAATGCCTGAAAAATATACTTATGGTGTGAAGTATTAAATGTGTTTTGGGATGCAGATCATTTAAATTATTGTTTCTTTTAATATCTGAAGTTCATTTTCCAGATGATTCAGGTCATTAATCCTGACCAAAAAATATCCTGGTTATATTTTACCCCAAAATAAAGAAAAAACTTTTTCACGCAAAGACAATTGAGATTATTTGGGGTCATTTTTTGCATTATTTTTTATCACATGTAAATTTGCTAATTAGTATGCAAGAAATATTCAGCGCTTGCCATGCCAGTATATATCATGGTAGTGTTTGTGGTTCAGAATTTAATTTATGCTAGTTTTAATTAAAATCTAATCTTAAAAAGAATCGCATGATGAAGAACAGGCTCATTTTCTTAATGCAAAACCATTCTATTGATCTTTTGACTTCAGGGTCAGGGCATTTCTGCTTAAACCAGCACATTAAAACCATTCACCATCCACATCAATGCTGTTTATTTTCACACATACATGTCTTTAAAATTGAAAAGGAGTCTATCAATAACATACATTCGAGTCTAAGAGCAGCGCATGAAATAAATGTCGTGTGAAATCATGCAGTGTGTGTGTTTGACAGGGCGAAGGTTTCCTGACAATGCAAATATTTGCTTGGGTGCAGAACGTCTGCGACGTTAAAACTAATGCGAACATCACCAACAAACGCTAATGTACCGGAACCGTCAACAATAAGTGGGAAAACACTAGAATCCATTGGCTGGAGAGGGTTTGATGCATCCAGCTGTCAGAGCGGGAGGTCCTGCTCGGGTGGAGACGGCAGCACCCGATTGATGGTCTCCTCCAGCGACGAGAAACAGGAGCGCAGGGACACCTGGAGCACAGAGAGAGTCTGGCTCAGTCATCGAATGTAATGATTAACGATTCAAATATGCGACGATTCAAATGGGTTCAGATGCTAAACCAATCGCGATTCAAGCAGGGGCGGAGCCAGACAGTATAAACATTGGGGGCTTAGCCCAAATGTAGTTGCCCCCTCCCCCCCCCCATATAAATGACGGTTTATGCACTAGCCTATTTCAAGAACAGATGTCAAATTTCAAAAAGGTGAATAACTATGCATTATAGGTAGAAATTTGGCATAAACAACTTAACTAATCTTAAAACCAATTTTGTTATACCCTAAAGTTCATATAATTAACCCAAATTCAGCCAAAATTGAACATTTCGTCATGTTCCAGACATGAGGGTGAGTATAGTTTGAAGAGTGTTGGTAACCAAACGGGTGAAAGTAGCCATCGTCTTCCATAGTATTTTTTCCTACTGAGAACTGGGCTGATAACCAACACTCTTCAAAATATCTTCTTTTTAGTTCAATAGAAGAAAGAAACTCATACAACTCATACTCATACAAAACTCAGGTTTTGAACAACATGAGTAATGATGACCATTTTAATTTTGGGTGAACTAACCCTTTAATGTTTAGCTGACAAATGTGCTACAGTTGAATCATGCAATAATGGAGTGGTCTAACTGCAAAAAAAAAAAAAAAATCTTATATCCATCTATGGAAAAACTGACGTTTTCAATTAGTAAGGGTTTGTTCCAATTTTTGTTCCAAAAGCTAACATCAGCTAATGTTGCATGCAATGAATGTCAGCTAATGTTCATTGACAGTGTTCACACACCATAGCAGGACTCTACATTCAGTTTTACTTGCCCTCAATTGTGCCAACATTTTCACTGGCCCAGCCAAAAATAACGCTAGATAGATGCTATTTACACTAAGTGCAACTAGCGATAGATTCTATTTACACTATGTTAAAATAGCAGGATTTTCTGCTATTTATACTAGCTACTTATTGCAAATAGTGGCAATTATCTGCACCTCAGTATTGTAGTACATTATAAAACGGTATGCAATAATAACGTATTGAGTGTTTTAATTCAAATTATTAAATGGATGCCACCTTATTGGGACAATAAAGCCCTCCCTTCACCTACCCGATACTTTACTTAATTTAATTTAACTACTTTATAATTTTTATTTTATTTATTTATTTAAATTTTTACTTTATATTTTTAATTACTTGCAACTTTTTGATTATTTCCTTCATTTTTATTGACAATAAATGCCTTTCTGATGTGATATGAGATTTGAAAAGGGAGAAAAAAAAGTTTGGCAAAAGGCGGATTCGAACCCGGGTCGATCGCGTCAAAAAAAGACTTCGCTATGCGCTTTAGCTTCTACGCCACTGGAGTTAACAATCAACAGCCGTCTTTTATAGTGTTGACTAGCCCTATCACACGTTTGTGGGTGGAAAAAAACATTTAAGACACCTTTTGTTGCAAGTGTAGTTAATCACAGTAATAGCGACCCAACGTTCTCCTCAAAATATTCAGCAAACTTACTTAAATCAGAATTTAGTGCCGGTAACAGTAATAACGTAAAAATGCTGGAGGTGAATGAGATGAGACGAGTGATTGACAGGAGGCGTGGCTATGGAGGACTGCGGTGTGTGACGTTGACGTGAGCTCGCTGTCGGAGAGGAGAGAGAGAGAGAGAAAACGCAGCTGATATCGTTTTATCGATCCTGCGGGAAAGCAGTATTGAACCGTTTTAAATATTTCTGTATACTATGTGTTGAAAAACGATATTTTTGACAAAACTATTAACAAACCCAAAATATTCGTATATGTATAATGCATATTAAAGTTCATATCTTAAATCGTGAATCGAATCGTGAAAACAAAATCGTGAATCGAATCGTGAGTTGAGTGAATCGTTACATCCCTAGTTACGAGTGAATGTGTCCTCACCATGTCCGTGTCCAGGACGTCTCTCAGCAGCTGCAGCAGGCCGTCGGGGCCGTATTCGTTCTTTAGGACATCCAGTCTGATCACGGCTGCCGTCACACACGAGCAGGCCACCGCAGACGGAGCGAAGACCGAGAACTTCAGCTCTGAAAACAGCGGGGAAAAACTAGGGCCGTCAGTTTAATGCATTAACTTAAAGGAGACATATTATGTCCCTTTTTACAATATGTAATATAAGTCTCTGGTGTCCCCAGAATGTGTCTGTAAAGTTTCAGCTCAAAATACTCTACAGATCATTTATTATATCGAGTTACAAAAACAGTGGGTTATGTCTGTGAAGGTAAACAGCTGGGAAATAAATCACTTGTTTATTTTAGATCTGTGTGGCAGCAGCAATATACAGTAAATAAATCAATAAATCCTCTGCTGATTTAAACAGATTTTCATGATATGTCACCTTTAATTAATTAGTTATGAATAAATAACGCGGTTAACGCGCTGGCCCCGCCCCCAAACCTGTGCATCATCAAATATGATGCAGGACAACAACTCCATAAATGCAGTTATGCCCTAAAAATTCAAGATATTGGGGCAAAAAATGCCCCTGTATGAGTTTTTGTCTCATATTTATATCATATGATCATCGATATCACACCAGCAGTGATATGATTTTGAGTGATGATTTTGTCATGAAGAACACGAGTGCAGTGAACAACAGTTCAGTAAATAAGAAGTTAATATTGTGCAAAATTTAAACACAACATTGTGCGTCTTGTTCAATTTTGCAAACGAAAATATGACCTTTAACCCTTGTGCGACCTTTTGGACGTTTTTGTTCTTTACAGTTATGTTTTTTTGATAAAATTGCCAACTGCATAAAGTTTGGCACAGGTGTGTATTTTTGTTGGAATGTTACTATTTCACCCTCATTTCCTTAAATAAATATATTCTGCACTAGGTACACAAAATAGTTGCTCTCAGGACCTTAAGGACAAAAATGTCCCCATTAAATGTGCAATTTTTAATCGCAGTGCCTTTTAACTGTAAAATGATGCAATTTTTGTTAATAGGCTTTCATTCTGTTGGCAAGGCTTCAAAATTTAATTTTTTACAATTTTTTTACCAGATGGTGCCATTTTTTCAGGTTTGGCCTATAAAGCAAATACTCGCTTTATTCCTGTTTTCTGCTTCTGCATATTATTGAGCCGATTGGAAAATAATGCAGCTATAATTGTGTGTGTGTGTGTGTTGGTGTGTGTTTTAATTAGATTAAAAATTGTAATAGACTGACAGCCCTAGAAAAAAACACATCGCTATATTCATAAATGCTCTATTAATTCTAGGCATTGCCTTATACAATTTAAGATCCTTCACCGACTTCATAATTCTAAAACAAAATTACATAAAGTTTTTTCAGATGTCTCTCCACTAATTTTAAACTAATTAATAAATTAATTGTAAATAATTTAAGTGTTGTGTAACAGTTTTCAGTGATGCATTCAGTTTACAATAATGTATAAATAAAAAAGTTTCTAAAGAAAAATGGCAATAAAAATGCTTCATGCAAGAATAAACAACAGATTTTAATCAATAAAATGTATGATTAAAGTTGTTTCTTTTTATTAAACCACATTTGCTTCAAGATGAATCAAGATCGATGAATTAAAGTGAATAAATTAATGAATAATTAATAAATCAAATAACTAATCACTAAATTAATAAAAATATTTTAAACAAATTAAGTAGATTGGTAAATTAATATTTCTAATGTAATCAAATTTAATTAATTTACATGTTAAGTGAGTAACAGTTCTATTCATTTACACTATTCATAAAAATAATTTTACATCAATTGCTAAACTTATATTTCTAACTTAATTTTGATTAATTTATGTATTAAGTGAGTAACAGTTGTGTTCACTTACACTAATGTGATTCGCTATTAAATGAAGCTTTGATTCAAGTCTCAATTCTGATTTTCAATCACTTTATTATTCAATAACGTATTTAAAAGAAATGGCAGATAAAAATTATTCATGTATGAATAAAATAGACAATTTAACCCAAATATATGGTTAAAGATTATCCTCGTAAAACTATAATTATTATCAATAAGTAATAATCTACATTTGCTCCAAAATTAATCAATGTTATAAATGTAAAATAATTATTACTTGCTAAATTAATAAAAATGATAATTATTTCAAATAAATGAATTATTTACTATGCATTTCATGATTTAAAATGCATTTTTATTTATGCATTTTAAAGGGGTCATATGATGCTGCTAAAAAGAACATTATTTTGTGTATTTGGTGTAATGAAATGTGTTTATGCGGTTTAAAGTAAAAAAAACCACATTATTTTCCACATACTGTACATTATTGTTTCTCCTCTATGCCCCGCCTTTCTGAAGCGTTGCGTTGCATCGCGCCGCGTAAACATAAAACCATGTCTGCATTTGTGATCGGAGAAATGACAAACAACAAGCGCTACTCTACACTGCCCAAAACTCACGTTTGAATCATCAGTGGCAAATTCTTTAAATATAAAAAACGTGCTTACAGTCCGTGAGCATTACCGCGGGAAGTAGGGGTGCTGAGGGTGCTGCAGCACCCCCTGGTGTGTAGCCCAAGCAAAAATGGGGGGGCTGGGGGTGCGGTGTTAAAAATAAATAAATCTAAATTTTGTAACAAAAAATAAATAAAACTAATTTTATTAATTTGTATATTTAAAAATATTGTATAATAACCATTTTATAAAAGCAATAAGCCCCGTGAAGCCGTGGTTTACAGTGAATTTATAACAGCTAAGGGGCGTTGTTAGGCACGACTAATTGGCAGTGGTTCAGAGCTGCAGAGGAACAATGAGCCGCACACAAAGAGTGCTGATGCGGCGGATGGGATCAGTACCTGTGGAGCTCAGCGCGATGTAGGAGAGCACGTGTCTCCGGACCGATGCCGTGTCCTCGGTGCTCAGCGGCAGCGTCTGCAGCAGCGGCTCCAAGAAATCAGACGGCAGAACCGCAGCCAGATCCCAGTCCAGACGCGACACCAGCAGCACCTCCCACTGCTGCACACATCACACAGCAGTACTAGCAATGCAATCATCAACGGGAATCAACTATACAATGCATTTATAATCATCACAATCAGCAGAATTTACAAAAAAGAAAATAAAAGGTAATAATTAAATAATAAAGCCAGTATTAAATACATAAATGTGACCCTGGACCACAAAACCAGTCATAAAGGTCAATTTTTTTAAAGCTGAGGCATATTTACATGGTGTATATTTATACAACAATGTTCATGAATATGCATGGTCCCTATTAAATAAACCAATAAATAAATAAAAATAAATAAATAAATTATTTTATTTTTTTATCAGCCGAGTGATATAGTTCATTAGCATATTTATGCCAGGGTTATTATAGATAATAAAAACTAAAGCCAAAATAAAGTAGACATTAACATACAAACCTAATAAAAATAACAAAGCACACAACAGAATTACTACAACTTTCAAATTAAAATGAAAACTGAAAAATATCTAAAAAAAAAAAAAATCTCATTCTGAATATTAACAAAACTGTAGATATAATATTAAAATAACACTGATTACAATTGATGGGCAACATTGTAAACTCACTGCATTAATATAAATATTATTTATATACTGTTTTACTATTTATTGATGTTTTGAATTAACTTTTATTTTAATCTTGTAATGCGCTTTTGTCATTTTTATTTTATTTTAAGTTTTTCATCTAATTTATATTTTAGGCTTTATGAATTAACGAAAATAATTTTTAATATTTTAGTTTCAATTAATAACAACAATGCTTCAAATGCACGATAGTTTTAATATTTTTTAGATTTATATTTAGCATTGTTTTATTTGAGTGTTTTTAATGTTTCGTTTTTCTACATAGCTTTATTTTCAGTTTTAGTAATTTTAATACTTCAGATTTTTTTATTTCAATTTTAATTTACAAGTATTTCATCTAATATATAATATTTATATTTCCTTCAAATGTAGGTCATCCAATCAGAATATAAATGTTGAAAATATCATGCTAGAATTTTACAACTGTTTAAAAAAAACAAGTTCAAAAGTTGCGCGGCCATTTCCCCAAACCTAAAACGGCGTATAGCTGGATGCTAACGGTTTACGTAAAAGCGGGTCATGTGATGTTACCAGGATCTCTGGGACGGTGACGGCGTGGTCGGTGTAGACGCACAGCTTGGCGGCACTCAGAGGAACCGATTCCCTGAGTTTGGAGGCCAGGAACATGCAGACGCATCCCAGCAGCTGCAGACGGCACCTGCGCACGGCATTCTGGGACATGTGCCTGTCCAGGTAATGAACGGCCAGAGGAAACACCTCCTCCTCACACTTCTGATCCTCACACACCTGCTCGAGAACAAGCGCCGTGATTCAGGATTCAGATCAGAGTGACTCGAATCACTGAATCAGATCAGAGTGACTCGAATCACTGAATCAGATCAGAGTGACTCGAATCACTGAATCAGATCAGAGTGTCAATCAGTTCAGAGTGACTCGAATCACTGAATCAGATCAGAGTGACTCGAATCACTGATTCAGAATGATTCATTAGACATCATCAGATCAGTGTGATTCAAATCACTGAGTCAGAATACGATTCATAAGACATCATCAGATCAGAGTGACTCGAATCACTGAATCAGATCAGAGTGACTCGAATCACTGAATCAGAGTATGATTCATTAGACAACATCAGATCAGTGTGATTCGAATCACTGAGTCAGAATACAATTCATTACACAGCATCAGATCAGTGTAATTCAATTCACTGATTCAGAATAAGATTCATTAGACAGCATCAGATCAGTGCGATTCTGAGTTAGAATAAGACTCATTAGACAGCATCGGCTCAGTGTAATTTGAACCACTGATTCAGAATGATTCATTAGACAGTCTCAGATCAGTGCGATTCGAATCACTGAATCAGAACACGATTCGAATCACTGAGTCAGGTTGATATGATTCATTAGATCTCCCCTCACCTGCAGCATCCATCCCGTTAGGATTGGGCGCACGTAGCGCTGCTCGTCGCTCGACTCGGTTCCGGGTTTGATGCTCGGTCTCTCCGATCTCAGCAGGTTCTGACAGACGCGCGAGTCTCGGGTCAGAACCGCGTCTCTGAACGCCCGAACCGGTCTGGAGCTCGAGTCCGTTTCGACAAGCTCGTGACAGAACAACTCCATCTGACGGACTGATTAAAGCGGTCAAACTTACCGTCAGTCACGAGCGAGACGCGGGGTTTGGGTTCACACAACTCCTAACAGCTCTACAAATATCTATACAATACATTTAGTCAAATTCATATATGAAAACACATGGTTTTAATCAGTTAAAAGAAGCTTCGTCGGCGAGCTGCGGCACTCACGGGAATGGCAACGATTGTTGTGACGTCACGTCGCCGGTGATGCGGCTTGTAGTCTTCATAAAAACAAAATTAATTTATTTTATTTATACGTTATTTATAATTTAAGTTCTCAGATGTGAATTTGCAATGCTGAGGAAAAAAGTCAGAATGGTTACCTTTAAACCGACAACTGCAAGAAAAAAAGTCTGACTTGTGAGTTTTTTTTTTTAACCTTTTTTACAATTATCTTTTTTATTTTTTATTCCGTGGTGGAATATAAAAAAACAACAACTGTGGAATGTAAACTGTGCAATACAAGAAAATAATTCAGAATTGAGAGGCGTAGACACAAAATTGTGAAAAAAGTTTTTTTTTTTTTTTTTTTTTTAATCTCGCGATTCTGAGTATATCTCGCAATTATGACTTTTTTTTATTTTCTTCTCAGAATTGCGAGAAAATCCGAATTGTGAGATAAAAAGCTGCAATTACCTTTTTTTTTAATGTGGGCAAAAACATGGTAAAAAATGGTAATGTGCGACGTAAACTCATCAGATGTAAAAGACATTATTTTCGTCAACTTTTTTCGGAATTATTGATTTCTAATCAATTCTTCATTAATAAAACCAAGATTATATACATTTTTCTTGTCATACATCCCATATCATTCATCATTGAAGTAAAATTTCACGGCGAGGTTAAAATCCATAAGCGCTTGAATAAAACCAAAACGTTCTGAAGTTTATATAACGTAATTTTATTAACTAGTAACACAAGTTCTAACCAAAAAGTGTAGTCCAAAAATACAAACAATGCATTACTGCAAAGAATGCTAAATATATTGCAACACAATCGCGCGTTACGATGGAAGTCCGCGGCGGCTCAGTCGACGGTCATGGCGGGTGTAGCGTCTTCCAGGTCACGTGACTCAGCGCTCTGCAGCTCGCGCCGGATCTCAGACGATATCTGCGCATGCGTCTGGCACTTCAGCAGCTCCAGCAGCGCCTCCTTCTGTTCGGAGGACAGGTCAGCTTTGTAGCGCTGCACTAGCGTCAGCAGGCTCTGGTGCCACAGCACCGGCAGCGTCCGTCTGTCCGCGCGGAACGACAGGAAGTGTGCGATCAGAGCGTCCAGCACGCGGAAGGGCAGCGCGTACTTCTTATCCAGCAGCAGCCGCAGGAAAATACTGTTGGCTCCGTTGTACTCCATCTCTGCGATTTTCAGCATGGCGGCGCTGCAACGTATAACGGCGGATTAGTAGCACGTAAAAACTACAATTACGAGAATAAAGTCGTATCATCGTGAGATTGAAGTCGTAATAATCTGAGAATATTCAGTCAAAAGTACTTTACTCTCAAAACATTACCCTGTAATCTCACGATGCTATGACTTTATTATTAACTAACTTTATTCTCAAAATATTACAAGTTTAATCTTGTATAAAACTTAGTCGTAGCAATACTATTACGACTTTCATCTCGTTACGACCTTTCATTTACTACGACTTTGTTGTTGTAATTTTTACTTTATTCTTAAAATATTAAGTTTCATCTCATATAAGACTTTATTCTCGTATTGCTGTGAATTTATTCTTGTAATTTTGACTATCAAAATATTACAACTTTAATCTCACAATGCTACGACTTTATTCTCAAAATATTACAAATTTAATCTCATATAAGACTTAAGGTCTTTGCACACTGAGTCCGAAATTTTCGCACGTTAAAAAATAAATACGACCTCACGTTGTGTCAATCACTTTTACACACTGCCTCCAAAACTTTCGTCCGTCATAAAAAATTTGAATCAGGTTCGATTTTCTGCGTTTTCGCATCCATAGCAAGCCTTTTGATAGGACAGGATGACGAATAAGAAAAAAACGAAAAAACGTATACGAACATTTCGGATTCAGTGTGCAATGACCTTTAGTCGTAGCAATACTATTATGACTTTCATCTCGTTACGACTTTTCATTTACTACGACTTTGTTGTTGTAATTTTGACTTTATTCTTAAAATATTAAAAGTTTCATCTCATATAAGACTTTATTCTCGTATTGCTGCAAATTTATTAAATTTATCAAAATATTACAAGTTTAATCTCGTATAAGACTTTATTCTTATATAGCTACAACTTTTTCTCAGAATTTTAACTTTATTCTCAATTTTATAAATTTAATCCCATAATTTTGACTTTATCACCAAATATTACGACTTTTAATCTCACAACCCTGCGACTTTATTCTCAAAATATTACAAGTTTAATCTTTTATAGACTTTCTTATCATTTTGACGTATTCTCAAAATATGAAATGTAATCTCATCTAAAACTTTATTTTCTTATTGCTACAACCTCGTTATTATGACTTTATAATCAAAATATTATGACTTTAATTACACAATGCTATGACTTTATTCACAATTTTGACTATTTTCAAAATTGTACAAATTTAATCTCATATAAGACGTCATTCTTGTATTGCTATGACTTTAATGGTAATTTTAACTTTTCTTAATTCTTAAAATATTATAACTATAATCTCACAATGCTACAACTTTATTCTCGAAATTGACTTTATTCTCAAAATATGATGTTTAATCTTGTACAAGACCTTATTCTCAAATTGCTATGACTTTGTTCTCATAGTTTTGGGTTTATTCTCAAAATATTACAAGTTTTATTCTAGTAATGTTTACATGTAATTTTGACTTTATTATTGAAATAATGCAAGTTATTGCTATAGCATTGCTCTATTGCTTTTTTATAATTTTGACCAAAATATCTCATATAAGCTTTATTCTAGTATAGCTATGACTTTATTCTTGAAACTGACTTTATTCTGTAAATTTAGCAACTTTTTTCCTAATAATCTAAGATTATTTTTCACCGTTGTAGCAAAGAGTCTGTCAACAAAATATGAAGTGTTCTCTAGTGCGCTTGAAAAAGTGTGCGCACCATTAATATGTTTTTAAGGTTGTTTTAGATATTTTAAGATTTTAGAACATTTATAAAACTTTATTATAAAGCGGGTAGTTCCGGTGCTTGATTCTGATTGGCTGAGCCGCGTTCGAAGCTGTTGTAAATTACTCTACAAAGTAACATACACCATTGTTTAGGTTTGAGTGTTGCTCGGCAACCACTTTGTTGCAACCACAACTGTTTCTGAGGAACTACATTGTTTGGTGGAAGAATACTGTTTTTATTAATATCATTACACTTTATTTGCTTGCAATTACATTAAGACAACTGTTTTCAATTACAAAATGTTATGTTTAAACATGCAAAAGAGCCATTATTTAATTAAATATTCACTAATTTGTACAGACATTGGATAAAGCCAGGTGCATAATTCTTGTTGGATTTAGTCGTGTTTATAACACAAATAACTGTGTTTTAGTTAAAAATAACAACACGATTACGGTCATTTCTGAAGATTAGTTTCGCTCGGTTTCTTCTCTGGCATTTGTTAAGATACTACAGTAATGATTTGTTTATCAGTCACATCAGCATAATTTAACCAGAATAAACCACCGGATCTCAAACCAGGCACGTGTGAAGCTCACCAGCGTCCTCTAGTGTTCAGTTACAGGAACTGCACACTGACTCTGTTTACATGCACTTCATGCACATCATGTGAGACACGTGTGCATTGCTTGACAGTGCTGTTATTGCTGCTATACAGTGCGTATTAGATGCACGAAACTCACTGCACTTGCATCTCCGAACACTTTTATGATACGACATTAGTGTGAAAGCTGCCACTGTCTGTGATCTCATCAGTAATAATCAAACAGCGATAATGCTGGAAAAAAAAAGAAAAACCCATAACTATGATTGTCTGTAATGTCTTGTCTGTATGATTGTCTGAATCGAATCGTGACACCAGTGAAGATTCACAGCCCTAGTGTTTGCACACTGTTTAATGCAGCTCAGAGGTGGCATGAATGCATTTACACAGCGGGTGTAACGATTCGCTTGTTTTCTCGATGCATCGATTACAAACCCTGACGATGATTGTGCTAAAGTGGAGCTATTGCAAGTATACTTCAGGTACACTTTAAATATCTTGCATTTAAAGACATTCATTATTCAAACATCACACAATCCTCATAATTAGTGACATTAAAGCACATTTTAGGCTTAATATTAAGTAATGCACGTTGTGTACAAGTAGTACTCCAAATAAAGATTAATTACAATTTTTGTATCAGTAAGACTTGAGCGATGCAGTAAATATGTTAATAGATTAGTTTGAAATAAAAGTGTAGAGTTAAATTATTCTATCTAATGCACTTTGAGAGTTCAAAATTAAGAGCTGCAACCCATGTTCTTAACTAAGAAAACTTAAGTAAAAAAAAAAGTCAGTGCATTGACTTGTAGCTGAACTTTAAAGCGGACTCAACCCTCTTTTTATTTGTGATCTACTGTCTCAGTCTAAATTACACTCACACTGGGGTTTTAGGAAGCCAAACAAATTAGAATATAATAATAACAATGATATATTAGCCATATATTGTAAAACAACTGCACTGTAAAATAAATGAAAATGAATATTTCATAGGTATATTATTTTTGCTTTACACTACAGCAGGGAAATTACAATACTTCTTTCCTAATTTCTACACTTGAAAGAGATGTTTTGAATCTGGACTGCATTTAAACCGCTAGCTGTCTGCAATTCATATACTGCACTTTTAAGCTTTTATTTTTTACCAAAACGACAGTAAAGCTTTTATTTTGAAGGAAAACTCCAGCTTCAGTGAAAACAGGCTTACAAAAACAAAAACACGTCTCACTACAAATCTAGTGAAACGCTGTAATCATCTGCCGTGAAAATAAAGCAAACTGGTGGCTGTCGCGTTCCAAAACGCGCGCTAAACTCACAGCACGAGAAATAAATAAAATAAACGAGTTGACTGCATTCATTCAGTGTGAACGGAGCCGTTCTGAGGCGCGGAAAACACTGGATCACGAGCTGATTGCCGAAGTGTGCGCTTCGCTTTGAAACACGCAGCGGAAACAGATCTATCGTTTTATATCGTCATGTGACCACGATAATATCGAGACAGTTTTGCAATCGCGATAATATTGTTACATCCCTATGACTATTGCACTTTACTCTGTGTAAAATTTGTAACTTTATACATTTTTGTGTATTGCTTTATTGTATTTAAACGTTCAGTATTTTCGTTATAAGAAAAAAGTTACTAAACCTGTTATACTGTATTATGACAACACTTTTTTGCAACTAAATTTCAATATCGCGGTAATACCGTACACCGTGATAAAAGCATTATTATATAAAATTTGATACCGGCAATACTTGATACTTCGCACACACCTGTCATTATCGCTAACGATTTCTTCAATTTTTTTTGCGTAGCTTGTCAGCGAACTACGGCTCTGTGTATTAAATGCCGCTCCATCTGAAAGCACGTGCTGGAGATTTACTACTAATCACAGAACCAGCTTTACTGACGAGATGCGCGTGACTATCACTTTCGATTAATCGCGCAGCCCAAATACTCACCTTTGAACCAGGCTCCGGGTTTGAAGAGCGCTTTCTTCAGCGCGCTGTACAGGTGGAAGTTCAGCCGCTTGAACTCGGCGATGTCGTCTCGGATCCTGGGCAACAGCACCAGATTGTAGAAGCGCTGAGCCATTCGCTCCTTCAGATTCGACGAGAAGATCCTGCACACAAACCACGCGAGTGAAACTGAGAACTAGCGCTGCTCGATTATGGCAAAAATCACGATTATTTAACACGATTATGAGTGGGCCACATGACTGAAACTTCATGCGTGATTTATTTAAAGATAGTGATACATATCAAATATATATTTTCTGTAAATAAGGTTGCTATGCGAAATTTCACAATTCTCAATACCACAGCAGAATAATATTAGTAACAAATAAACAAAGTTCTCAAATGATTGAAAATAATTAAATTTGTCAGTAATTGACAAATGCAATAAAATAAAAAAGATACAAATGAAACAAACTGTGCTTTAATGTTTTTTTTATGCAAGTCTCAAGCAGTTAACAGCCTACTACAGAAATGAATAATCAAATGTAAAATAAAACAGCATAGTCTTCACTGTAAGAATTACACTTCCTTTGTTTCTTATTAAAGCTACAAAAGTCCTTCTATCGAGAGCAGTGAGTGATTTAGTCTTTGTCTTTTGTTGTTTGATTAATATTAAGCACACAGTCGGCAGCAGGAATATTCGGCTGCTGTCACTTTAAGAGCTGCACGGATCCAATTTACTGTTACACACGTATCTTCATTCTCAACTCTTTACGTTCATTTATTACATAACCGACGAGGGTTTATGTGAATAATCACCAAGCACCGCATTTTGACAAATTTTTGCATGCATTTGACCGTTTAGGCACTAAAAGATGACTTTACATGTCGGTGTTGTGTTCCGTCTCTGAGCGAATGCACAGAAATCCATGAATAAGTTTAATAAATCAAGCACGTCCCAAACTGCAAAAGTCTCGTTACATGATTTGACTGATTTGCACGTGAAACTGGGCTTTTATGGAGGAGCGAAAGCGCACCGCTGGGAATGGGGCGCAATAATCGTTTTATCTCAAATACTGTATTTTCATAACCGTTGGAGGCCGAACCAAAATTGAAACTGTTTTTCGGTTAATTGCACAGCCCTACTGAAAACACGAAGTGGCGCATGCGACCTCTGACCTGGTGGCCTGGTACATGGCGGCGGCCGTCCACGTCTCCGGCTCGGTGAGGTACAGCACCTGCTCCCAGTTGGAGAGAGCCGGGATGATCTTGAAGGCTTTGGGAAGTTTCCCGCTGCGGTATTTCGACAGGACCTGCGGAGGGAGAGTGTTAGCGCCAGCGGAGGACGACTCGCACGCTATAGCACTCTCCTCCGCAGCGTCATCGCCCAGCGCCGGCCACTCGTCATCAGAGTCTCCGTCCTGTGTGCTCGGACCTGAGACAACCACGAGTTCAGTCACTTTCATACGTACCAGCCTATATATTGTGCATATATAGTTTATCTGTCTCTCTATATTATACATATCTACCAGAGATATCTGTCTGTCTATAGACTATATAGACTCAGATTTACTTTATAAACATCTGTTGGTCTCTATGTCTATGTATATGATAAACGTGTCTGTCTGTCTATATATTATAAATATCTGTGTCTATATATCATAAATATATATCTGCCTGTCTATAGACTATATTGACTCAGATTTACTTATAAACATTTGTTGATCTCTATGTCTATGTAAACAATAATCGTCTGTCTGTCTGTCTATATATCATACATTTCTGTCTGTCTATAGACTATATAGACTCAGATTTACTTTGTAAACATCTGTTGGTCTCTATGTCTATGTATACGATAAACATCTGTCTGTCTGTCTATATATCATAAATATCTGTCTGTCTCTAGACTATATAGACTCAGTTTTACTTTGTAAACATCTGTTGGTCTCTGTATATGTATACGATAAACATCTGTCTGTCTGTCTATATATCATAAATATCTATCTGTCTGTCTATAGACTATATAGACTCAGATTTACTTTGTAAATATCTGTTGGTCTCTATGTCTATGTATACGATAAATGTCTGTCTGTCTATATATCATAAATATCTGTGTCTATATATCATAAATATCTATCTGTCTGTCTATAGACTATATAGACTCAGATTTACTTTGCAAACATCTGTTGGTCTCTATGTCTATGTATAAGATAAATGTCTGTCTGTCTATATATCATAAATATATGTCTGTCTATAGACTATATAGACTCAGATTTACTTTATAAACATCTTTTGGTCTCTATGTCTATGTATACGATAAACGTCTGTCTGCCTATATATCATAAATATCTATCTGTCTATAGACTATTTACTGTTAAAATCACAATCATTTTTTACAGTGTATATATCAAACATCTGTCTGTGTCTATATATCATAAATACCTGTCTATCTATATATCAAATACCTTTCTGTCTACATATCAAACATCTGTCTGCCAATATATCGTAAATATCTGTCTGCCTGTCTATCTATATATAATAAATATCTGTCTGTCTGTATATATATCATAAGTGTCTGTCTGTCTGTGTATGTCTACATATCATAAATATATGTCTATCTACACTGAACAAAAAAACAAAAGTGTTGCGTTTATATTTTTGTTCAGTATATATATATAAAATACCTTTCCGTCTACATATGTCTATATATCAAGCATCTGTCTGTCTACATGTCTATACATCATAAACATCTATCTGTGTCTATATATATCATAAATATCTTTCTGTCTGTATATACATCTATCTATCTATCTATCTATCTATAGACAACAGACTCAAATATGTATTGTAAATATCTGCCTGTCTGTCTATATATCTGTCTATCATAAAGCTGTCTGCCTGTCTATCTATGTATCTATCGTAAATATTTATCTGACTGTCTATAGACTATATAGACTCATAAATAAAATATCTATTGTAAGCATGTGCCCATCATTAATATCTGTGTGTCTGTCTCCTATCTATCTATCTATCTATCTGTCTATCTACCTGTCTGTCTGTCTTTCTGTCTATCTACCTGTCTGTCTGTCCATCTATCTGTCTATCTATCTATCTACCTGTCTGTCTGTGTCTATCCATCTATCCGTCTATCTGTCTAATCTATCTATCTATCTGTCTGTCTGTCTGTCTGTCTGTCCATCTATCTGTCTATCTATCTATCTACCTGTCTGTCTGTCTGTCTATCTATCTATCTATCTGTCTATCTATCTATCTACCTGTCTGTCTGTGTCTATCCATCTATCCGTCTAATCTATCTATCTGTCTCTGATGGTCAGGTGAGTTGGCTCACCTAGTCGAGTGGCTGGTGGTCTCCTGGTGTCTGGAGTGAGTCCCAGCTCGCTCTGCAGCTCCTGCTGTTGTATTCTGGCCTGCTGGAGGATCTTTCGGGACAGTTTCTCGTCCACATACTCCTGCTCCTCCTCGCTCCGGCTCCGGCTCCGGTTCTTCAGGCGGCCGCTGCTCCGGACCGCGTCTCCCTGCAGGATCTGATCGGCCAGAGACAGAGCGCCGCTGCTCTTCTTCACCTTCGGCATGATGATGAGGATGATGAGGATTTATCTGATCAATTATAGTTATTATTAGCTCGGGTTTGAACTCGTGACATACAGCTGCGCGCCGAACACACGTGTGTCTGAAGCAAATGGCGCTGTGTGTGTGTGTGTGTGTGCGGCTGATCGGAGGTCAGAGGAGCGAAACGAGCGCAGATCTCAGTCTTTATGCGGCGCTCATAACAGCTGATCTCAGAGCGGCGCTGCGTCACACTGTTTACTTCCGCTCAGCACTCGGTCCACATGAGATACATTGCTCTCAATCAGTGTTTCAGTGTCTGCGATCATTTTGTTGAATTATATAGATAATTACAAATATTTCCGTATTGTCCAATTAAAGTTTTTTGCTTTATCTGATTTTGTGTTAATAACGATGATCCGGAAGTAAATACCGGTTCGCGGAAATTTACGGCAAAAAAATGGGTGTAACGTGGTGAGAAAAACACTTTTGTTTTTAAATTATTGTGTAGTAGAATTGGTTTTTATAGTTCTTTTGGGTGTTACGGTGCTTATAAATCATTCCAGTAATTTATAGTGTGTGTTGAATGCACTGAGAGGCTTTGGAAGGAAACAAAAAGCTGTCAGAAATTGTTTATCTGTAAAAATTATTTTTGATGTTGTAAATAAAACAAAGATTATTGAAGTGTGTTTTACAAGGAAATAAATCTTGTCAGTTTTCCGCTTCAAAATTTCACGTTTAATGGAATGTGTTATTTGCCGTTTCTTTTATTATTTGAAATTTGCTAGCAATTTCTGAGTGAAAATAGTAATTATATATATATATATATTAAAGCATTTTCTTTGGTTTGTTTTGTATGAAAAATAGCTTTCAGAGTAAACTTTTGTTATTAAAATTAATATTACACAAACAAAAATAAATAAGAAAAGCATATAAAATATATTTTAATAGCACAATTTAATTTAATTATTTGGATCACTTTCACAGACTTTTACATTAACTGTTCCCTCGTGGTGGAATGACCTGCCATCTTCAAGACCCTCTAACTCTAGCACGCTCTATTCTAATTCTATTCTTAAAAACAAAAAACTTGCCCCTTTTAGACTTGCACTCTATTCATTTACTAACTGCTTATTTTCTTTTTTTTTTAAAGGCCTCTAACACTAGCTTGCTCTGTTCTTTTTCTATTCTGTCAGTTTTCTTTTTTATTTATTATATATAATAACGAAAAACCTTGCTACGTGTACTGCGTTAGGCTAACCGAGACTTGTCGTAGCACTTGCAGATCACTTTTCTTTTGTTGATTTTGATTGCTTTATTTGGATAAAACCGTCTGCTAAATGACTAAATGTAAATACTATTATATTTGTTGTTCACATTTTGAATTAGATGTTATTTTCTTGAAAGATGTTGCCTTGGCAACTAGCTAAAATAAAATGAACACCACATTTGCATTTGACAGATGAAGGAGCGGATGACCAATTGATTTGAATATACAAGAGCAGAACACACTGTGGACGAGCCACATGCAATCAGCCCTGTTACATATGATCTTAAATTGCCATTACCGAAATCACAACCATGCCAATTTCTATTCAAGCCACAAGACTTTAGTAATTCTGGTTCTACACGGCTCAACAATGGTAACACGCATTCACAACATGTGATACTACAGTAAAATGTAAATCTATGTTCAGTTATGAATTCCCCATAAACCCATTTTACTTAATTTTACACGTAGTCGCAAAGCATGCTGGGTAAGCATACTGTATGTAGGCTACTTCACCATGCAAAGTCCATACTTAAACCTTTGTTTACACTCATTTGCTTGTATCTTTTATCTTATAATAAGTGTTAATTTTATATGAGGTTGCTTATGAAAATCATCTTAAAATTTACAATATATATATATAAATAAATAGTCATGTTATGGACAAGGTTAATCTGTTCATCTGACCCCGGAGCTTTAGCCGATGAGAGTCTGGCTCCACTGCGCTAACGTTACCGATCGCCGTCTCGACCAATCAGAACACTGTCGTCATGCGATTGATCGCTCCTCGGCCAATCAGAGCACAGTGACGCCGGCGCTGGGCGTGTTCGGCTGAGCCGAAAATGGTGACAGCTCTCGCGTGCGGATGATGGCGGTAAATAACAGCCGAAAGCGAGTGTGAAAAAAACCCGCGCAAATATTAACCGTCATTTAACTCGCCAAACGCATTTCACCGGCTGTTTCGCGGAGGACTTGCGCCGATCGAGGGGCCGTTATTTGAGAGCCGATCGGTGGCTTTGCGGTGTGAGTTTATTCCGTGGCTGCGGCTCATGCTGGGTTTTGTTCAGCGGGTTTAAAGTACCGGATCTCTCGCGCCGGTATAAACACGCACACAAACACACCGAACGAGCGCCGGTACCGGAACCTCCCGGATCCGCAGCTGCCGCGGATTCCGCGTGTCTCCCGGCGGAGCGTCTTTTGTTCTGTGAGTAGCGCTAGCGGGTTAGCACACACACACATTCAAACAGAGACACACACACACTCATAAGTGTACACACACTGCGTTGCGAGACAAAAACTCAAATACTAATGAAAAATATACATTCACATTCAGTCATACATTTAGAGAACTCTATATAGTCACAAACAAACAACTCTCACATATGCATACACACGCTTAATCATATAAAGCACCACACTGTTTAAAATCAGAATGGAACCATTTAATTGTGTGTTCAAGTTTTGCAAATAACGCATTTTTTCGTCCACAGTTTTCATTCTGCACGATGAAGTCTTTTAAACTGTACAGCGACAGGACATGTCCGCTCTGATGCTGAAACTCGCCGTTTCTCAAAGTGAGTAAAATTGCTTTAAAAAAAAGTGACGCGTTGCATTAGGCGCTTTCGCACCGGAGGAACCTTTAAATAGTTCCTAGAACTATTGGCGGACGTTCCCACTTTTTGGCGTGTTCGCGCTGCAGGAACTAGGCACGTATTTAGTTATAGAAACTCCGTTTGGAGGAACTAAATTAGCTCCTACTTCAGAGCGGGGTCTTAAACAGTTCTATAGGAACTACCAGTGACGTAAGTGTACGCCGATTGGCCAAACGCTTACGAAACACTGGCTACCCGGCATTTTTAAAAAAAGCCATGTAATAATATTTGTTCCACGAACATGAAAAACAGCTGTAACGGGATTTACATGTTGTCTGCAGTGTTGTGCTCTTTTCTCAGCCTCAATGATACGTATCATTGCAAGTTAGTCAGATTTTCATGCTCTTTCAATCGCGTAAATTGTGCGTTTGCATTCCATCTCCGTTATCACGAAACCCACGACACACACAACAAAAACTGCTCCATTCACCGGTTGTTGATCGGGCTGGGATGATAAATCGATGCATCGCCATTCGTGGATCGATTCTGAGATTATTGGAATGCATCTCGATTCTCTCTGGAATCGATTCTGATCTTAGTTTTTAACAGTAGATGGCGCTCTAGGCTAGTATTTAACCCCACACTCAAATGCTCACAAAGAAGAGCCCTTGTGGTTAAATCTACTTGGCTTTTATGACGTGAGATTAATGTAAACACAGCCCACCTTGTAACTCCCTACAACCTTTTCAAACTGTGTGAATGATTATTTTATGTTCAAGTGGTGTGTGTGTCGGGAACTGGGAGCAAGCAGAGTACAGCGGTTTCTAAAGCATGCAGCACCATCTGCTGTTAAAAACTAAGCTCAGAATCTATTCAAGAGAGAATCGCTTTGCATTCCGATAATCTCAGAATCGATGCCGAACAATTACTTGATTCGCGATGCATCGATTTATTGTCCCAGCCCTAGTTGTTGATGTTTGTAAACGCCGCGAATAAAGTCGTCGCTGTTGGCTGCTTCAGAGTTCCTGAATGCAACCAGGAAAATAACGAAGTTCCTAGAACTATGCGGTGCGAAAGCTGTCAGTCGTCTTTGTCAGCAGCAAAAGCATTACGTACTTAAAATGGTAACTTATTAACATTGTTATCTTGTCCTTAGGATGAGTGCGGTCATGGCGTGTGGTTCCTGACTCGGAGTGCTCCTGCGTGTTGGGAGACATGGATCGCTGTAAGCATGTGGTACGGTTCCGTTTGGGCCAGGGCCACTCCATCCTCAACCCGCAGATGTGGCGTTGCGTTGATTGCGGCACCACGGAGTCCGTATGGGCTTGTCTGAAGTGCGCTCACGTGGCGTGCGGCCGCTACATGGAAGAACACTCCCGGAGTCACTACCAGCAGACGCAGCACTCGTTAGCCATGGACGTACGCGAACTGGACGTCTTCTGTTTCGCGTGCGGCGATTACGTGTTGAACGATAATGTTGAGGGCGACTTGAAGCTCCTTCGTGGGGCGCTATCTACCGTCCGCAGCCCTGGTCAGCGCTGCCTGCGTTCGTCGGCGTCCGATGGCGGACTTCGAGTGTGCGAGGTTGCGCGGGACGGCGCTATGCAGACGGCATTGTGGCACAGACGGAAAACTCTCCTCCAAGTTGCCTTGCACCGCTGGAGGAGCCGACAGCAGGAGCAACACTGGAAGCGCGAGGAGAAACAGGAGCAAGAGCGAGAGGAGAAGCGACGGCAACGCATGGAAGTCAAGAAGCGGCTGATGGGCGAACTAGCCAATGTGCCACCGAGGAAAAGCGCGCGGCTTCTCACCCAGGCTCCTCGTCCGACACTCGCACTTATTCCTCGCAAGTTCCGTGATCCTCCGGAACGACTCCCTTTGGCTCCCAAACAGTCCCTGCTGTCACTGTCCAACAAGCCCCTGTCGCGCAAACCGCTTCGTAAGGCGGGTCGGTTGCACCGATATCACGCCTCGCAGTCGTCGCGTCGCAGGAAGCCTGCGCCCGGAGTCACGGGATTGCGCAACCTCGGGAACACGTGTTACATGAACTCCATTCTCCAGGTGCTGAGTCACTTGCAGAAGTTCAGGGAGTGTTTCCTCACGCTGGACATCTGCGAGACCGAGGAGCTGCTCGCCAAGACCAACCAATCGCAGGGAGCCCTAACTGCGCTGAGCCGCATGGGGAGGGCGAGCGGAGGCACCTTTAGCAAACAGAACGTCCCGCCCAGCCTGAGCTCGGCGGAACTGGTGCAACCGAAAGAGCCGCGGTCCTCGGCTCGGCAGCAGATG